AAGAACCCGTATCAGTGCAGCCAGAACATGTGTTATGTTTCAAAAGCAAAAGACAAATTAGAGATATGTGGCTCATAAAATACTCATAACCCAGGACCCTCTCTATACTAGGACATCATTTCCATACACACATGCTCCACTACACAGAATTTCTGGAAGTGACGTTTCAGTCTTGATGTATCAGATTTCATGGGGCTGAAATGGCATTTTCAGGCCTACAACATGAAAAGAAATATTTCTGCTGAACTGGGCATTTCCTCTAACATGGAACAGATGGTAGCCCCATGCACAGGTCCTTCAACCACACCTATATGGTCAGTAATAGAATGTTACTCTATTTTCATATTTTTGTAAGCCTCTAAAATAAATCATCGAGGAGCTGCTACTGTTTAAAGTTACAGTCTAAAAATTTACATTTCAAAAAGTAGTTGTCAAGGGTTAGTCAAATGTTCTTATCAATTAGATTCAGTTATTGCTTCCACTCTTTGATCACCACAAACATTCAGATAACATTATCACTATTAATCATAACATTCAGTGTAATGTGTATCAACCTACCAAAACCTCACTTGCCACAAAACACATAATTGTAAAAGTTTCATTCCTTGCTCACATCATGTAATTACTCACCTCTCTCACCTTTCCGCATCTGTTGCAATAATTTGTCTTCCTTCAGCTAACCTTCCAGACCAAAGTATTTTACCCTCTCTTTCACTATAAAGGTTTATGATCCCAAAATGAACAACAATTATGATGGTACTATTTGATCACAGTATATTAACAGAAAATACTTGCACAATATGTCTTTATTGATCTCCCTGCAGAAGGTTTGCAGCAGACATCCTTGCAGTATGCTCTAAGATATAATGACAGAGTACTCTTCTAAACTTTTTCAGCAATTTGCTGAGAATTATTTTGACCCACAGTGAGCAGTATTTGCTACTGCTGTATCATTCTATACAGGAAGCAAAGGATCAAGGTTTTCTATTGGTTTAAGGCATCTGGATTCTGCTGATTTCAGTAGAACTGTGTTAACTTGGGCCAGTGGTGTGATCTACCCACTTCTAGAATCACTGAAACAGTAAGGACTCTGAGAGAGACAGACATCACTAACTACTACTGGATATCCTGCTGAAGACTGTGAGGATTGTGCACCTGAAAGCTTTGACTGGCAACAGAAGGCTGTATAAAATCCCAGTATTCAAACTTCAGTACTCAACATGCTTAGGCTGACCAGGGACCTTTACCTGTTTACAGCACTTCTTTACCTGTTCCTTTAGTACCCACTAGGGGCAAAACAAGTTAAGAAGAGAATCACAGAAACCATGCTCCATAAAGCAAACTGCAGACCACTGCCCTCAGAGCTCACTGGATTACAGGGAGATCAGATTAGACCATAGCTCATTTACTGTATGGGAACCTGCTCAAGTTGCTTACCCTAATCTACATCTCAAGTGTGATAGGCAATAGATGAAAAGATATACAGTAGTTGCATAGCTCAGGTTCTTGGTAAACTTATTTTCCTATACTTCCAGACTAGTGACCAACCTGGAGGCACAAGCTATCAATAAAATAATAACAAAAAAAAAATACAGCCGAAAGAGCCCAAAATGGCATTATATTAAGCAGCAAACAATAACCTACCATTTTCCTCTCCAATTCCTCTGGCCATAGGCAGCATTCAGTGACAGTCAGAGGCAAGGAAGGATCACTAGATGCAACACTGTACATTTCTTTCCTCTCTCCCTTTTCCTCTACTGGAGTCTTTCAACCAGGAATAAGATACAAATTCACATTTCTACTTCATCTCAAACACAAGCACAAAAGGCCTGGGAGGTGAAGAAGGAAGTGAAGGGGAATGGTGTCAGAATGGTGTCTTCGATACAGACACTTCAAGCTGAAATCCCGGCCTCCAACCATTGTGGTATTTTTGCCCCTGTGAGAGTCACACTTCACTACTTTGATCAGTATAAACTTTCTGTTTCCCATTCTCAGATTTTAACAGCCAGCATATTTTTCAGTGAAATCTATTATTTCTCGGAATGCTTCTGTTTCACAAGAACATGGAATGATGTATGGCACAATATGACCCATATCCTGACTGTTGTCTACATTACTGGGGTTAAGCATGTTAATGTCACAGGATTTCTCAAGTAAATAACTGCTCAACACACACACATGCACATGCACACATACACAGAGTTACAGAGTTCTTCTTACACTAACTGGTCTTCGAGAATCCCACAGTTCAGAATATAAACACCATTACTAAATGAAAGAATTAAAGTATACATAATATTCAAAGTAAATCACATTTAAGAGAGGATATTTTTATTCTTGAGTAGACAGAAAAATGGGTTCCACTCAAGTCTGGTCAGAGATCTAGGCCACTCACCAGCAGACACGCCTATCAGTTCCTACCTTAACCATTGAACTTCAAAGACTCTTCAAAAGTGCAGAATGAAGTTACTTTTTTCTGCTAATACTTTCATTAAACTTCTCCATATAAAAGTAAATTAAAGTTGCTTTTCAGAAGTGGCAGTTTAAAAATGCCAATTTTCAACCCAATGGGAATTTTAAAAGCTAAACTTAGTATTCATTCTCATCTAGAAAGTGTCTCTCCACTCACCAAATCTTGTTTATTACATACATGCATGATTTAGCTGAGGCAGAAGGACAGTGGGAGATGTAGAAAAACCCCCTCCAAAGTAAAAATCTTCAAAGTATAGAAAGAGGAAAGCAAAAGTTACGTAAAGTGTTAAAGGGTAATAAAAATTTTATACATATCTTAACTGCTAGCATGAGTAATACACAAAATGGATTTGGTTTAGGTTACTAGCTTTTATCCAGATTATCCAGACTATCAGCATCTGGTTTAAGTCCCCTGTGTAACCATCTGTAGTAATGTCACATGAAGGATTAGCCTTATCTGACATTTGTAATGAATATATGGATGGAAGAAGAGGAAGGAGTGTGACATGGAGTACAATTGTTAAACCTTAAAATCAGGTGAAACCTCATGTTTATTTGTTGATTCTAACTGTGGGGTTTTTTTAGTTTTCAATATCAGCATATGTATTAAAAAAAATGACATATCCCCACTGATTTTTTAAAGAAAAGCAGACAAAGTTAGAAAAAATATTTTTATATATGACCTTTAAAACATAATTAGAACATTAAATGAAAATAAAGCCTAATTCACCATGTTCAGTTATGACAGATGGGTGTGATCACAAAAACATCAAAGGCAGGCTTATCCTAATCCTGTAAAGTGGTAAGTGCCTCCTGAAAGGTCCTGAGTGCCCTCTAATCCTCCTGAGGATAGGATGCAAGTGCATCAAGAGGTAATGGGAGCAAGTAACAAGGGTAATAGTGGGCTTTCCTGTCCCTGCAAGGAACAATGGGTATCAAAAAAGACCTGATACGTTAGGAAATAACGTGATTTATCTAAACACAGAGATCAGAAAATGGGAAGATGTGTGTTTATTTTCCACTCTCTGTGAGCTTGTATTACATTATATGTATAGCATGGCCTTAGGCCCACACCATGCAGCTCTAATTCAGAAAATCTGGCTTATCTTCCAGGCTCTGTTATCTGGACAATACTGCACAGTGCCCCAGGACACTGTACTTACCCCTTGGCATCAGTGTCTTCTTTTCACAAATGGTGAAACTGAAGTGACCTCTCTTAATAGATCGTGAAGTTGTGCAAAATTGACAAGATGTAAGAATTTATGACCATGATTAGTTTTAATGCATCAGAACGTATGGTGAAAAATCTAGTTTTTGAAGTAGAAAGAAAAATTAAATCCTAACAAATGTTATGATTTTGGTGTTTTCACCTTGTGTGCAATCAATTCAGGATAGGGAAAATGAGAATAAAGGATCCTATAAACTTGAGGCAGGTAGCACTACCTTTGGAAGAACAACTGAATTGGAATGACTGTTGATCAGGTCAAGTTTAACAATAAAAGTCTTTTTATTGCAAAATGTACGGGTGAAAGGTCTGAATGAAAACTGGGCTGAGAATTTTAGGGTAGGTGATATGAGAACACAGTGAATAGTACTGCAGTGGAGTGTAGCAGCTAAACAAAGCAGGTGTCACCATGTGACAATACCAACCACCTCCCCCCAGTTTAAAACAAGCCTGCTAAGTCACCCTGCAAAAGTAACTTGTGAAAAGTCACAGATGACATCTAGCATAGCCTAAGAACTGAGCCTCAGCCAGTTTTATCTTGTCTCAGGGAAACTCTGGGATGTTCCTGTTGGTTACATAAGACATGGAAATCTCATTTCCTTTGGTGAAACAGCCACAATTAATAATTGATAATAAAAAAAGCTTCTTTGTATGTGTATTATAAGATGTTGCATGTCCATGAGGTAGCTCAAGGCTGGGTTTTTTTTTTCAAATATCCAGATACTGCTGTTACCAGGCAGAATGTCACTAATGACTACATTTTATAAATTTGTGTGAGACATTTTTATAGCACATGCTGTACTGGCACCATTGCCCAATAGTGCATGCAATTACTTTGTTGTTGCTGTTGTTGCTGAGGGCCAACCTCTAACAAATTAAATTTAGAGAAGGGAAATAGGCTTATATGCAAATGGAATTAAATGCTGACACAAGGATAAAACAGCCCTGGATTTAGACAGGGCTCTCCCCCCGACTTTTTAACCAATCATTAGATTTAAATTGAGCAGACAGATTCATCTTTGATTTAACTCCACTGTAATCAATGGACTGCAGCCGGGATGAAGCCGGAGCAATATGTTTTTGACAGTTTTTATGCAACGGCTATCCAGAATGAAGTAGATGAAACAGATTATTTTTTTTGCTTATAATTTATGAAATTATTTCACCATCCTCAAATCCCTACATCAAGGAAATTAGTTAGTGCATAAAAGTGGATAAAATAGGCAGTTGCATGCCAAATACCAACTGCTGACCACAGGCTCTGTACCCAAATATACAAAGCCAAAATATTTATCTGACTTACCTGTGATCCAGAACGACCTCCCTTAACAGTGTAAGTGCAGCTGGATAATTGCACAGGTTTTCCTCAATGTCACTTGCACTGCACAAAAACAATGAAGTACACTTACTATTTCTATAATATCAGAATCACATATAAATAATTGCCGAATTTAGAAAATTATGTTCTTTAGTGATCTATAGAAGTCTTAGAAGGAATAATGACTGTTGGTCTGATATGGCATTCTACAAGAAATGTATTTCAGTAAACTTTTGCAATCCCTGGTTGCATTTTGTGCCTTAATTACATGACTGCTCCTAGACATGTCTTCCCCCTTTACCTGCATCCACTGGCACATCTTAGGGAAAGAATAAAGTGTTTATTGAAATACTTTGTAAATTAATGTAGGATCAAAGGAGTCTGGCAATATGCACTGTATATGGAACTAATGAGGAACTAGGGAGCATTGCTTGTACCAATCTGACAGATCCCAATTTTTTGGCACCTTGTTTTTTGGCACCTAATGCTCTTCATTTTTCTCTCTCTTTCTAGTTTTTCATTACTTCTTTTCAGCTGACAGCTCATTGCTTATTCATTTATTCATGGGTCTCACTTTTTAGGTGTTGAGGATTCTTTATTCAGTGGTAAGTTCAGAGGAACAACAGTTTGTTATTCCACACAGCCCCTTCTCTGTACTAAAGCCATCAAATGGTACAGAGAACTTCTGTATGGGTGTGTAGCTTTACTATTCCTTTGTCAGTTTTCACTCTTACATGGTTTCCTCCCACACAAACTTCTAGCTGCTTTTTCAGTGAATATGTACCTATAATGCTATTTCAGATAACTGCTAATGGTTAACAACCTGTATTTGAAGGAAGTATAACAGAATTCTACTGGCTCCTATGACATGGTCACCATCAGACAGAGTATGCAGATGATCTGGCTGAAATATTAGAGTGGAAAAATGCTTTTTACTTTGAGGCTCCTGAAGCCCCTGAGTCCACAATAGGTCATTAAGTCCATGCATTGAAAACCATTGACATACGGTAGAGATATCCTCAGCCGGCAAAGCAGCCTTGGGACTACAGGTTCTCTAGGAAAAGACAGCAAAGCAGACAAATTCCAAAAAATAAAAATAATTTTAAAGCAAACTCACTTCAGATCAAATGGCCCTAGTGAATCATGTATTTCCCTTGTACATCTTGGCTTACCTACATAAAAGCCAGAGGTAGGAATCAAACAAAGCCCAACATTGCACTTAAATTGGTGGGATTACTGACATTTGTTTACATTTGCTGTTCTGTAGCAAATCAGTGAGGACATCGCAAAACAGTGCTTATCAGTACTATTATACTAAACAAAGGTGCTAGAATGAGGTCTGAAGCACATATAAACTTGTCTCCCTTTTCTCAAACATTTGTATTTCCTCCTTCCTCACCTATTCAGAAAAGTACAATACAGGTATTTGCTACCACCACATTCTGCTTACTGGAGATTTTTAAAAGCATAATCAGAATTACTTTGGCAATATGCAGTCCTATCAAAATATGAACAACCAAGAGAACTACTGGGGCATTGTGTATTTTAACAAAAAGCTAGTTCCCAAAAAAAAGTTAGCTAAGTTATGAAGATATAAGTCAATAAAAAGTATGGAAAGCAATTGCTTTCATAATACAAATCCAGTTTTAAAGAGAGAGAAAAGATACTACCTTTGCAAGTATGTCACTGTGTAACTTACAGGAAAAGTAAGATTTTACAGTTCAGCTACTAGTACTTTCCAGAACATGATGCATGGAAGCCTGAGTATTCCCTTTTTCAAGCAGCAAAAGTTTCAGGTTTTTACCACATTCCCTTCATTTGTATTTCATTGACTTCAAAACACAGAAAATAAAACATTTTATAGAAGTTACAAACTGTATTACAATCCTTCTATATTTTTCACCATGGAAACTACAGTAATTTTCAAGTAATACAACTTGATGCTTACTTTCTAGAGTTCTAGTTCTAAACATTTTGTTCTGTTCAGTGACTCAGTATTATCTGGTAGTAGCACACTGTAGTATTCACTCTTCTTATGCGAAGCAAAGCAAAGTTAGAGATGGTAACTGAGATTAGGATGAATTCAGAAATCTAAGCAAAACTAAGATACAGGATGTCTGTTACTTAAGAACTCAAATCTGCATTAAACTGCTCCTTTGAATATTACTAATATTAGTAAGTTTTCAATTCAAGCACTGTAAGCACAATTTCCCCCCTAATCTTTCAACAGGCAAGGAACACAAGCAAGTTAAAGCAATCAACCAAACATAACTTGAGAGAACTTTCAGTGAAAGCATTTTACCACCTCTAATAAGATTAAATAACCATCTTGCAAATAAACAGTACAAACAGTGGGGAGGAAAATTAGTTACAATTTCAGCTCAAATTAAAATGAACCATCAGATGTCACTGAACTGTGAAACGGGAGAATCTGGATCCTGTTCACAGTGCTGTGTCTGACTTGTTATGAGATCTCATTTGCTACACTGTCTGCTTCTGTGTCCTTCATTTACATTTCCAACTCTGGTGAGCTACAGAAGGTATGGACCAGGTCTCACAGTGGACGCATCTATGCTAAAATCCAAGAGTGACAGAAGGGGTGAGTGAAAACATTCCGAGACTGGCTTTACTCTCACTGGCCTGCTCAACTGTCCTAGTGAGGCCTCAGTTGCCCCAGTAAGCACCCCTAATGTCTGGCAGATTTTTGCATCCTGTGCTGTAGTCCATGTTTGCTGTCAAAGTTCCTTGATAAAGTTCCTTTCAGCTGTGCCTGCAAGTCCTCCACTCCCACTACTTCGTTACAGTCATTTTGTATAGGCGGCATCTGGATCTCAGTGGGATATCTTAAGCACCTCTTTACAACACACAAAACTATGTGCTGCTGAAATACAAGCCACTTTCTTGCACTGGTGGTTTGCTGACGAACTAGTCCTACTTTTCTTCAAATTTGGTGTTTTGAAAAATTTCCTGTAATTCTGAGCAATTCACACCCCATGTGCTGGGAGTGTAGATCCCTGCAGTTACTGCACTGAGCAGTCCCAGGCACCAGTCCCTACAGCACAGGCACACACCCAAAATGTGCCAGGGAGCAGATGCACTGCCTCCTCATGCAAGCACTGCAACAGCCGCTGCACAGGTGGCTGGTTAATGCCAACAGAATGATGCACATTTCCTGTGCTGAGGGGAACTGCATCTTTCAAGAACTGTATCAGGCTCTGGCAAAAAAGTAATACAGCTAGGGAGAACATATTTCAATAGGAGTGAGCTAATTATAATTTTGGCTCCTAAAGCTTTCTAACAGCCAACATATAAAGTCCATCTGGCATGTCCTTCCGCCTGCCTGAAGGAAATAATCCCAATTTATAGCATAATCAAAAATCATGTTTCTATATTTTGGGGTTTTTTTAAGTTACTGCCAATACATCAGCCTATGGAAAAGCCTCAGATTGCTTTCCAAGTGATGGAATGCCAGGAGAAAGTTTCAATGTATAGACATTTTACTGCCTCTGCACTGGTTTAAAAAGCACAGAAGATTGCCTGGCTGGAAGTAAGGGAAAAAGAAGTACCGGTCCAGTAAAAACTTTGTGAATCACATAGACCTGTGCAATTAAGGGGCCACTGATAATTTTCAGATTGTCATAAATCCATTGTAGAATTTGAGACAATTCAAAACCCAATTACAATAGAATGAAGAGAGGATTGGCAATCAGCTGAAATTAAATGCAGCCTACAGAAACACAACCTTGCAAGAACCCAGCACTGAAATATGCTGGGAGAATAAAAAGCACACGGAACTGAGCAGGTATAGTCTTGTAAAGACCAAGGCTATTTGGTATGAAGGCAGAGGGTGTTGCATAGCTTTGAACACTGGTTTGCTCAGTACCTCAGGATCTTACTTCTTTCAGTCAATTATATTCTAGAAACTCTGAAACTACCACAGATTACAGGGAAGCAGCTGTATGGATTTTCACTCACTATGCCTCTAGTAATAAATCAATCAATATCTCTCAAAAAAATACTATAGCACTACTTGCCCTGAAATAGCACTTTGAGTACACACCTGCAAGGGCATATAAATTTTTCCACATCTCATAACTAAAACACTGCACCACAAACAGCGGTTTGATCAAAACAGCATTTATATGTCTATTTTAAGTGATGTTTCTTTAGCAATATAATTAAGATATTATTTATGTATCAATGTAAACTAAATGAAGCATATTCTCAGCTTTATCAAAAAATCTTAAATAATCAACAGCATAGACTGTAGCGTGGCTCTTTACATATGTAAGAAGTTGATGTAATAATCCTAAATGACTTCAAGCCTAGGTATGTGATCTTGATTAGTAATCTTGCAAACCAAGGATAGGAACCCCAATTACTCTTCAACTGACAGTCGCCTTATAGGATCTACAGTACATGAAGTATAAAGTGTAATGTTGGCCCAGGTTCTGAGATTGAAAGTTGAATAGAGTACATTTCCTGCATTCCACAGTGCATTGTGACTTGAATGCAATTTTCCACGCCACACTCATCCACTCTACATTTGTATGCTCAGGTATTCAAATTCCTAAGTTTAAGTCAGTGATTGTCCAAGCCATCCTGTCTAACACCAGAATCTAGATGGAGGACTTCGGGTGTCTGAAGAAACTGCTAGTTTCAGCAATTTCTGCAGTTGCAGAAATTCTTTCAGTAGTTCAAAACTGTGCAAACTTAAAGCATGCTTTGGATGGCAACAGAAGCAGAATGGAAACCTGCCTCTCCACACTGCCTGCTACTTAAGCCTTTGGCCTGAACACCAAACCCTTCAACTGTTTCCTGTGCCTCTCCTCAGCATGCATTACATCATCACACTACAAAGGGTGTAGTTTGAAGTGCCAGTATTTTTTGACCTCCTAATTCAATCTATTGCTACATTACAATGACATCTGTATCTGTTACAATTGCAAAGCACCTATCAGTCTCCCAGTACTAACATCTACCAGCAATACATCCAGAATCCTGATTTCCTCTCAGGGTCCCTGAGAATTTTCTGTCTTATCAGTTAAATACAAAATTCCACA